AGATTCTGATCTCGAAAATAGGCTGTAGACATCCTGACATGGCGGCCTCCCCAGCAGGTGCTCACTGGAAACCCGCGTGGCGACGGTCTTGCCGACGCGACTGAAGGAAAGTACTCGTAGAGCCAGATCTACAAAAGACAAAAATGTCAGTAAGTGCTAACCAAAAGCTTAGAGCTAAACTTTATGGGAGATAAAGTATACTTCTACCACTCTCCAGAAGCTGGACAGAGCGACGTTCCCCGTGAAGGACCGGTGTCGACACGAGTCTTGTAACGCTCGAACAAAATCAGCATAGGCCAAGCTGGCCCAGTCATAAGTCCCAATCAAGTGAAGATCACGGACCGCAGGAAGGTAGTAAAGCAGCACTCTACTACCCTTGTCAGGGGAAAACGTCCCTAATAGTAAGACAAGCGCAAAGATGCCCACCCGCTGCTCTCGAGTGGTCACATCATCCTCAAAAGCTTCCGTTAGAGTTTTTTGGCGAATGCCCTTAGCACAGAACTGAGTTGAATCTACCTCAGCACAAGCCCGAACAACAATCGAACCCAACAACTCCTTAGCCTCAGGAGAAAAGACGCTGATGTTGCTGTCAAACGGCAGCGCAGTAGAACTAAACTCCAGTCCCGTAATGAGACTAAAGTCGATCAGGGTGACCATCTTCTCACCCCAAGGAAAGTGGAAAGTGTTGGTGGTGTCCCAGAAGAACTCCACCAGAGCGCGAGCCATGCGATGACCCTCGTTAGAAGCAATCATGCCCTCCGCGGTCTCGAACAGCGCAGTCAGCCCACAAGACTCCTAGGGAAGTCTCACGTCTCCGTCGACGCTGATGTGCATCTTATACAGGTCGCCCAAAGTATCGTTGCCCGAGCCATGGCAATGCCTCCTACCAGTAGTAATCCCACGCTGCACCCTCTCAGAAATGTGGTGGATGGGGGAGAAGTATAAAGTCCGCTCATCCCACTCAGGGAGGGGACCGAGAGAAGTGGACGGGTCGGCGTCCCCCTCTACGGGCTCATGCTCCCGTTGTGTGTCTCGGGACCGTGAACCAGAACCTCGCTGTCTAGCCATGCTACATTGTGCAAAATCAACATAAATTAAGGCTCCATAGTATCTAAGGTTCGCCTAGCCGCATGATACTATGTTCGCAAAAAACAGAGTACGTAGTACTAAAATAGAGCACAATTTCAAAATGAGCATACACGACATTTTTCAAGCATCCAAACAATTTCTTGCAATACTATGGTAGTTATTGTGAAAAATTGGACATGAATTGCTAGCAAGAACATCAAGAATAAGCCACATTGTCTTCCCGACCTTAAGAAGTCCAACAATGGTGATTTGTTCGTTTCTTCACCAAATTGAGTCAAACAAGTCTCAAATTACTCCCAAGGCAATATATAAACATAATGAAGGAATTTCGTGGCATAAAATTTGACGAATAAAGCAATTTAAGTTTTGAATTTTCAAGAAATTCGTGAACAAACATGTGCAAAATTCATCAAAACCGGAGTGATTTTGAAGAAAACTTACATAGATTGGGAAAGTAAATGAAAGAAGCTTTAATTTGCAACAAATTTGAGCGAATTTTGTTGAGAAACGAGCAAGAACAACCAAAGAGAAACTTAGCGGCGATTTTCGAAGAACCAAGAGCTGAGCAGCAGAAATGAGGAAGAAAAGGGGTATATACGGAAATCCCGACTCTAGCGCCAAACGACAGCTTTGGTGCCAGACGCTAGATTTTAGCGTTTGGCGCTAGGGCCAAAAATGCGGCGCCAACAACATTTTAGCGACGACAGAATGCTCAACTGCTCAGAACGATTATTTCGACCTCTTACAACAATTTTGGGTTCCTTGGTACGCCAGTTAGCCCCTCTAATTAATTTGACATGAATTAGTAATCGGCTCGGTTACTATTTCATAAAGTGATCGACCTGATGAATGATCGTCTCACTTAGCTTAAAGCGCCTAAGCATTGGCTCATCGAAGGCACCGACATAATGGTTCATACAGCAGAGGCACCGACATAATGGTTTATACAGCAGAGGCACCGACATAATGGTTCTTACAACAAAGGCACCGACATACTAGTTCACAATTCAAAGCAGCAAAAACGTCGACGTACAGGCATAGCAAAAGCAAAGGATCGACAGGCGTTGGTCTTCGATAACTTTCCTCGGAATATTATCACAACAAATGAGGATAGCTTCAGGCGAGGATATCTTTGACAGCATTCCCTAGCTTGCGGAGGGTTGTCACAAACAACTGGAGGTGATTTCAAGAAAAATTATCTTCGATCGTGTTCCCTGGCTTGCGGAAGATGGTCACAAAGCGCTAGAAGGTCATTTCAGGCGAAGCAATCTTCGATGGGGTTCTCTAGCTTGCAGAAGTCTATCACGGCGGAATTGGAGGCAGTTACAGGCGTAGCAGTCTTTAGGAGGTATTCTCTAGCTTGCAGAAGATCGTCAAAACGAACAGCAGGATGGCATTCCCTAGCTTGCGGAAGGTTTTCACAACAGCAAACACAACAAATCGGTTACCTCCAGAGACGTGTGCTCGACAGTGCAAGATACTTGTTTCTTAACTCTTTTATCTGTTTAACTAATGCTAGTTTGCAGGCATCGGCGTTACAAGAGTGATTTAGGATTGCAGAACGTTCTGAATCATTCTCCGTCCCTATCGATACTTTGACTTTTTTTCGAAACTCGCGTTTCTCCAAACTCAGTTAAAGTGGGGGCTTCTGTAAACACCCATTTGTGTCTCCCCAAAACCAAACCCAGTGATGAGTACCTTTCACGTCGAATTATAATCGAATGAAGTGAAAGTGTGGAAAGTCTAGTGTTGCCGATAGCTTTTATTTCTTTTCTTTCTCTCTGTTTTTGAAAACCTATTTTAGGAAAACAGTCAATCTAGTTTAGTTTGGTCCATGGCAAGGGTCCAATAATGTTGTAGTTGGGTCGGGTTCGGAAAGAGCTTTCCAACAATATATTATAAGCCCAATTCCGATGAATAATGAGGAAGTTATGGCCAAATTACCAAATTGGGCCCGGTTTGATATTTATATGCGGCCCAATGATCTAGAGAGGGCCTAATATTGATTTATCATTCCTAATGCATTTAGAATTGATTTTAGTCTTCTAGATTCTTCTAGAAGGTTCTTTTCATTCCTAATTGAATTAGCATTGATAAATTGACTTTAGTTGACTTTTTAGAGTTTTAATCAGAATAAAAGAAGTGTTTTTTAAGGAAAATACGATTTTGTCCTCTTTATGGCTAAATTTTATCGAAATTAAGAAAACGCATGAAGCTGATTTTTAGCGCCTGGCGCTAAGGCTTGGTGTTTGGCGCTAGCCTTAGCGTCTGGCGCTAAGCTGTTTTATTCTATTCGAAACTCTGATTCGTTTTTCTATCCATCCGGCTGATTTTCTCTATAAATAGCCTCCTAAAACCTCCGTTTTCCATCATCAATTCTTATCAATCATCATCATCAAGTATTACTTTTCTTATTCTCTCTAGTTTTCAAGAATGTCTTCTCTCTCTCAATCTTTCTATACAAAATTCCGCATTCACAAGATCTAGATGCACCTAGCCAAATTCGAAGTTGCCTTCGCCCTAGATGTGAAAGGTTTTAATTTCTGAAGGTTTGGTCCCAAATCTCTCTTTTAATTATTTAATTTAATTGTTTGATTTTTTTTCATTTTCCTTGAAGTTACTAACGCGTGTATTTTGTTATTAGAAAGAGGTACGAGGCATCCAAGTAAGTGCTTTAATGGTTTTATTGATATTATGATATAGAAATTATGTCTAGGCTGTTATTATTAATCCTAGCGTCATGTTAGGGTGTTTTGATCTTTCTAGTATCATGTTTAGGGTAACAACTATAATTTCTAATATCAAATATGACAATTGTGATTCCTGCGATGCTTCCTATTTTCTTCCTAGTATTTATGATTGTTAGTATCATGTTAGGGCTAAGCTTTGATCTTTATTGCTTAGTGACATGTTAGGGTTTGTTATTGATCGTGTTAGTATCATGCCTAGGATCTTGCTATTAATATTATGATTTAACATGATTATGATTATTATTATTGTTATAATTGTTGTAATTATTTTTATTATTATTATGTTGCTTGATTATATTTTTATTGCTTGATCACGCCTTTTATGCATGTTTAAAGGGAATTTGTACTTGTAATCATGCTTAATAAGATAATTAATAATCTTGTTTAGGTTTAATTGTATTATAATCCAAGTGATCGCCAATAATAGATTTATTTGTGCATTAATATTCAACCAACATAGATTAAACAGGTTTAGGGTAAACCTATTGATTGCATTTTAGTCAGAAAGCGCACATGAATACAATCAGAACAAAGTAGAGGCCTATTATTAGGGCAAGTTCAATCCCTTTTAGGTTGGATTTGCACCTTCATCCCCGAACTACCAATCTTGGTTCCAGACCTATTGGAGTTGACGATCTCCTGGATCGTTAAGGGGTGTAACCTTCACCTCGTGAACGGTTTACAAGTTCCTAAAACTTGTTGGCGACTCTTTTGCTCTATCACTACTAGAATTTTCGTGTTTTTTGACGCATTTTAGGCATATTTTCGACGCATAAAAGCATCGAAAAATTCTTTCTTGACGCTTTAAAAAAAGCGTCGAAAAAACGTGAGTCGAGTAAAATACACGTCATAAAAAAGGGTTGACAATTTCGACGTTTTTTTTGTGTCTAAATCTTTATACGAAGCGTCAAAATTTGCAACATTTGGCGTACTTTCTAAATATTAGTGACGCTTTTTCTTGTCCCAAATTATAAAACTGACGACGCTTTTTTATGTCCAAAGTTACACATATTTTATCGACGCTTTTCTCTGTCCATTTATTCAAATGAAGATTCTCTATTTCAAGTCCATAAAAAGATCTAGTGTAGAGAACATATTTACCACATAATAAAATTCAATATATTCTACTAGTATTACCAAAAAAGAATGTATACATATATATGCTTTAAAATTATGCCAAAGTTAATTTTATTATTGAATATTAAAAAAAAATTGTACAATTTTTCATAGTAGTGAGTTTTCTATTACAACTGTTACAATTCTGACTTGTGCTCATTCATGACTAATTGAGAACCTTGTTTTAGCTTAGAAAACCCCATGAACAGTAGCAAGCATAGGAAGCAACTAACTAAAGTTAAGCAGAGGAAGCAGCAGCAGCAGCGTCAAGCATAGGCGGTGGCACCGTGGCAGCAGCATGTAGCAATGTTAAGCATAGGCAGCAACAACGTCCATCCCTGTGGAAAAAAGGTACTTCAGCAAACCAAACAAACTTATTGAAAATCCATTGGGGAAATCTATAAAGACATCATAGTCAATACATGTTATCATTAAATTGCCCAGCTCAAAGAAGATAAAGTAGTGCAGACCTTGCTGTCCATACGCAAGGGACAAACTGCACAAGGAAATCACTAATTAGAATCAGATCAACATTACCAAAGTGATTATTTTAAGAGGCTATATAAATCAATTCAACAAGAATTTATCCTTATCAAAAGATATAAAATGCATTTTATCTATTAACCAAACTAAAATTTATAGTCTAAACAGTAACACTGACATTTCGACCACAACTCTTGGTCAACATAACACAACTAAGTTAATAATTAACATGTAATTTACGTGAATATTACTTGGCTCATATTCTAATTAGCTTCCAGCTGCTCAGCATGCATCACTATTAAGACCAGAAGAGCTAAATAAACACGGTCTTTGTTTGCTTCTATAAATTGGCACACGAAAATAACTAAAACTAATTCAAAAAGTTGTTAGTTCTATGATTCATACCATTTCAATTAACAACATGCATAATCTGATGATATATATTAAGTTAGATAATCATAGAACAGACATTCATAATCTCAATAAAGGAACAAAGAAAAAACCTAGGTACCTTCATTCTCAACACCGTTCACAGCACACCCCTAAATACAATAAACCTTCTAGAATCCATAGAGAATGAAATAAATTATTAAGTACAATGATATTCTGTTCTTAAGTACAATATATTTGAAGAAGAAAATCTAAATCTTTATTCACTTGATTAACCCTACAACAACTTACCTGTAAGTTCTAGAAAATGATTGTTCAAGCAGTTGGTAAGTTGTTTGGCGGTCTGCAATCGTCAATTATCAGAGGGGCCTCACTAATCACTATTAAGCTCTATGTGCAGACCCTTTTCTACTAATCTCATCTTTGTTTCTGCATTCCATACATTCCATATGACTCAAACATCTTTATGTTATGAATTAAGTGAATTTCTTCTCGATTGATTAATATAAACCAAATTCAGTATCTTTTAAGGGAAATATTTAGTAATGTGATATGAAACCCAAAATATTGTTTTTCATTCTTCTAAATGGAACAAAAATAGAAGGATAAAATAGATAACACTTACGCTCTCATGTCTGAAGATGACAAGCTTGCAACAAGAGTAACAAAGTTTCAAATTCAACTTGATGACAATAGAGTTGCACAAATAAAAATAAAAGATAAGCAAATCATAACAGGAGCAAGACGATGTTTGAGCCCTTTTAAAGATGTTAGGCAATTACCTAAGAGAATACGATAAACAAGAACTGCTTAGCAGTCAACATCAAAATGATGGATGATTCGAATAAAAAACACTAATATGAGCTACAATCCTAAAGTATTCCTGCTTTAATTCTGTTCTCTAATCAAGTTACTCACTTTTATGATGGAAAATCATCCATAAGTTTTTTTATTTACCAATTCCTCTGCCATAGTAATCACATACAAGGGAAAATGAATGCTCAAGAAAATAGTGTTAGCAAGAAACACAGGGTACTAAAAAGTGTAATAATATTTTCTAACACCCTCAATATACCCTAAATCACACAAGAAATCCCTGGAAAAATTTCAGAACAACCCTATTAAAATCTCACCCAAACAACAAGAGTAATCCAATTCAAACCAAAACAGCTTAGTTTAATAGCAAATAAACTCCAAAAATTCTGAATTTTTAAAGGAAGAAAGTAGACAGAAAAATACCCAAATTCAAAAAAAGAATCACCTTAAAACCTTCTCTAACGAAGGAGAACAAGCCAAACGAAGTCAACACTCACAGCAGCTCCGTCCTACGAAAATCAATCGATTTGTGATGGAATTGCTAGACAAAAAACAATGCGATCATGCTCATTCAAGCACATGAAACAAAAGGCTAATTTTCAGAATTGAATTAAACCAGAAGTACAAAATGAAACATAACAGAAAATTTAAAATCTCAATTACTCATGAAGCTAACCCATATATAAACATAATCTGTGAGATTATTGAAAAATAAAACATTATAAAACAAAATTGGGTCAAGATTTATTAATTGATTCAAGGAGAAAGGATGCACCTTATTATTGTCGATCTGCATTGAGAGGGACGACATAGATTACAATTTTAGGTCAAGATCTATAAATTGATTCAACAATAGACGAAGATTTGAATTTAAATTGATGTACCTAAATTTGAAATTGAATTCGAGAAGGAAAAAAATCTAAAATTGAAATTGATTGACCTCAATTCGAAGAATCCGATTCACAAAATGATATCCCTCATATTGAAGTTACTCCGAGAAAAACAAAGATCTGAGTTTGAAAACAATGGTTCCATAAGTATCTTTGTAGAATTCGGATTGAAAGAGAAAAGAGTTGTTTGGTTGATAATTGAGAGTAAGTAGAGGTTTTTGTTTTTGGGTTTTTGTCTGTGTTTGTGTTCGGTGGTTTTCATTTTCCCTAAATTTTGCAATTGAGGGTTTTTGCAGTCACGTTTCGGACACGTGTAATGATACCTTATGATGCCGATAATTAATATCGACCCGGAAAAGCATCGAGATAATACGCATATTATAATTAATAGTGGACGCTGCTTCCCCAGCGTCGAAGGTTCAGCGTCGAGAAAATGCTCTTTTTGTAATAGTGCTAGCTTCCTTCCCTTTGGACGTCACCGTACTTTAGTGTATGATCATAGTAGGGTTCAAGTTTAGGGTAATACTTGAAATATTCCCTATAGTTTCAATTGTGGATCGTGATGTTAAGTGGTTCTATTTGTATCCAAGCTAGATTTTGGTCTTAATAACTTTGGTTTGATTGTTTGCTCGAGAGTCAAGTCGGTCTTATTCTGGTTTCCTGGAAGTCTTATTTGTCTTGTTTCTCCATTTTGAATCTAGTGTTGCTTAGGGACAAACAACGGTTTAGCTTGGGGGAATTTGATGAATCACATTTATATAGGATTTTTAGGCACGTTTATGATAAGTTTATAGTTGCTTTTTAGGTCTTTTTTTCGCTTTTTAGCTTGTAAATACATAAGTTGTTTGTTTTGTACTCTATATATTACGCTTCGTTTGTGTTTTTCTTAATGTTTCAGGTGATTTGATAGACATTTGGACGCTTTTGTAGTGTTTGGAGTTGATTCGGAAGATATTTGGATGGAAGTCGATTAATTGAGTTTATAAATCAAAGATCCCACGTTCGTGGATGTTGATTTTGAGATTTATATGCATGAGGAATGAATATAGCATCCACAAGGGTTGTTAGAAACGAAGTTAGAAACGATGTTTTACAAAGTGGCAAAACAGATCTTTGGTCACTATTTTGTTCATAACTTGGGTTCTACAGATCGGATACAAATATAATCACTTAGTACGTTTTGGGTATTAAGTTCTATTATATAGACTTGATAAAATGTTTGAACGTGTAAAGGAGTTTACCGTGTTAAACATGAATTGAAAGGACTTTGAAAGACTTTCGACCCATATGTATAAAACTAAGTAAATGTTTGAACTAAGTATAAGCTAGGCTAAATACTAAGTCAAACATGAAAAACTCTAATAGAGACTTTCAACCATATCACACAGCAAACTGTTTAGCAAAGACTCAGTGAAACTGAATGAGCTAAAATGACAAATTGATGGAATAAGATTGAGAACTACTCTGCAATTTAATCCATCATGTACGCTGTGATATGGAATCATCGCAGGACTTACTTGCTTAGAGCATGTGAAGTATGTATGTAGTACCAATAAACCTGAATCTATGTAATAGATCGTTAGATTATGGCCAATAACATCCAAAGTACTTGGATAAGTAACAAGATGAGTTCTTGACTTGTGGAAACAAATACAATTTGAGAATTGATGTTGCAAGCACAAGCCTTAACAAGGATTAGATCCTTAACAAGGAGGCCGTTTATAAGCACGAGCTTAAAATGAGTCGTGGCTTGAGAATGGTAACATGGACGTGGATCCATGTGTAATGTGCAGGAATTTAAGGAAAATTTCCATGATCACAAGTGATTAGGGTATCCCAAATAATTGTGAGCCGTTTGGAATGAAACCCAAGCAAAGCATCATCAGGAAGTCTACTAAAATATATGTTGAGAATATTATTGCCTTAATGGAGATAATAAAGAAGATGTTCTATGGAAAGTTTGTTGCTGAACGTTAATGATTGTAGGTTGTGAAGTTGAAGGTTTCAATCATGAAAATGAGTGGGAGCCATCACTTGGACAATAAATCCTAAATCACATATAATCCGTGACACTCTCAAATTTTATCACCTTATTATGAAAGTGATCAGAAATGAAGACGCTAAGATTAGCAAAGTAATTATAACTAAACCTATGCAATGAGTGAATGACAACATCCACAATTGCATGAAAGAAATCAAGCATATTAGATATGGGTTTGATTTCTATAATGTTTTATAAAGAGTGATACTCTTAAAACATTCGGAAAAACCATTTATCATAAGATGAACCATTCAGGTTTTGGAGTAATTTAAAATTTCATGCAATTTTATCACTTCGTTTGCTATTTAATTGTGGTTTAGGATTAAATAATGAGTCTATTCGATTCTTGAAATATTCAAAATAGGGTATCAAGACCAGTCTTGGTAAGGAAACACCTATTAAGTGAACGTTGAATATTATAATCGAAAATTATCCCTAATTGAGGTCAATTAAACGATGGACGATTAATGACCAGTTGAGATTAGTGTGTAGTTTGACTCAGAGCACCGTTTTATGTGCTACAAGGACATGATTGTCATGAATCATTTGCACAGGTATTGGTTTAGAACCATACTGGATCGACCTATGAGAATACTTTAAGAGATTAAAAATCGTCATAAATAAACTTCTCATTATGGCTATCAGAACCTATTTCCTCAACCATGAGTATTGTGAGTTCTCTTGTTTGAGTACTAGTCCGCTTTGATGTTGTCAAACGTCTGCTATAATAGGGATTATAACGGCAACACTCGGGTGGCTAGGTCATCTCAGTATGAGGAGCTACATTACAAAACTGGGAATGTCCCCTTACTAAAATAGGGAAGATGTCTTTGTTGTATACAAGGCCTCTCGTAGAGCGAGACTGTAAAAATGCATGGCCGTGCTCGGATGGATTTTCGAAATCATCTGTTTATTGACAGTCGGACTCGGAATCGAGAAACACTTCTGGACGTAATAAGGATGACGAAATAATCTTACCTTATAGTTCATGAAGAGACATTAAGTGACATAAGGAAAAATGTTGTACACTAAATGCGCACTTGTCCGGAAGGACAAGTGGGAGATTGAAAGGAATGGTGTCCTTCGAAAAAGTGTACTATTCCGTAAGTGGGTTCAGAATTATTAGAAAGCTAATATATTCAGTAAGGTCAAGTGATCGGAATGCCTGGATGGAGGCCGCTTCCGATCAGTAATATTAATGCATAATTAATATTACAACTTAATCTTGACTGAACCCTTCGGGTCAAACCCAAGAAACTAACGAACCGAAGCGACTAATTAATTATGAATTAATTAATAAGTCAACCGAGTAATTAATATTTAGACGTCGGGAATTCGAGCTTAGAGCGTCGAAACCGAACGTCGGAAGTCGAGTCGGAAAATAGTAAAAGACGAGACATGAAAATAATTATAAATCAACAAAGACCAAAATACCCCTAGCATCAGGATGCCCCGAGCAAACCGAGTGCTAGGGGCATTTCACCTAGCATGGTGGCTAGCATGCGCACCAAGCCGAGCCTAGGTTGGCTGGTGCGTGCTAGTGCTGCCTTGTGCGAGCATTGACTGGGCCATTGCGCGCATGCTAGCGTGCTGGGCCTGCTGGGCAGTGACGTGGGTCGAGACTAGGTCGTTGAAACTAATCCCTACCCTAAGCCAAACAAAATTTGTAATCTCTCAACACACCCTTATACAAGTATAATGGTAAGTCGAGGGTCGAACCACTAAGGAATGGAGGGCGATCTTATATTGTCAAGTCAAGCTATTCCGGAAAGGTTAGGTAAGGGTGTGAATTCTAAACAACTAAACAAGCTAGGTTTGGACAAATGTAATAAACACTAGGGCTCGGGATCCACATATACTTGTAACGGATTCCGCTAATTGGGAAATAGCTAACTAAGTCGAGTAATGCAAGGGAAAACCAATCATGCAACCAAAAGAGCATATCAAGCTATATTCCTAAAGGTCTAACTAGCGTCAACTTACGATAAACTCTAGCTAGGAACGTCACAAGAAACCTCAATCGTTAAATGCAAGCCACAAATCAATGGTCCGTATCAATGTGAACCTACAATGTAATCTAGTGTGAATAACTAGGGTGATCAAGCCTAAATCAAACACACACATGCACATAATCAATTAACCAATTTAATCACATCATCCACTCCATCAATTTCCCCAAATTAACATCAATCCATTACTCATATATGCTTCACCATTACCCTAGCAATCAAAATACTCACAATCCATAGAAATCAAGATCAAAACAAAGCTAAACAACAAATTCATCATGATCAAATAATTAAACAAACTAAAATCAAATCACAAATCAATCAAACTTGAACATTCAGCAAAACAATTGAAATCAAACTAAACATTGAATAAAAGAAAAGGAATCCTTACAAACTTGATCAAAGATCAAAGGAAATGGAGAAATCTTCAATCAATAACAATCCACCATGAAATTCTCTCACTAAAACCTAGAGTTTCTCTCTCTAAAAATCTCTCTTATTTTTCTAAAAAACTAACTCTAATTCTATTTTAATTCACCTTTTTTCCCCCTCTAAAATTAGAAGGAAAAACTATATATAGGAAGGATACAAAAGAAGAGTTAGTTAGATCGTCCCAAAAGAAACCCCGGAAGGCGCGGTCGCATCAAAGGAGAGGCACGGCCGCGGGAAAAAGGGTACGGAACAGGGGCCTTGGAAATGATAGAGGAATAAACTAGTCGTTAATTGCTTATCCCAAAATCAAACACTATTTATAAAATCCTAAACCAACCTAAAACGAGTATAGGTAAGTATAGGGTCGAACCCAAAGGAGTTAGTTGGTGTTCTCTTTAGCCTAAATCAAGCTATTTCGGAGATTGAAGTGAGAAAATGGTTGGTGTTATGATAGCAAAACTAGACTAATCAAGTAATTCAATAAGCTAAATGCTAGGGATATTGGTTCCACATGCTAATTCAATAATCGTGCTAATCGACAATTTCTTCGTTTGATTCAAGCATTGCAAAGGACAAACAATAGTAGCAATCAAGAGAGTTCAAGAGCTATCTCCTAGAGGCCAAACTAGGGGTCACTATGAGTGGCTAATCAAGGAAATTCACAATTGAACTCAATCAATTAAAGCAATTCTCAAATTGACGGATCATGTCATTAAGATGCAATGCAATCTAGATTAATCTTATAGGTTGATCATTCCTAATCTAATTAATCACATGCAAAACTATGTCAACCAATTTAATTGCAACAACAATTCAATCAATCAAAGATCATCAACTAGCACAAATTATCAATCAAGCATGCTTCCCC